AGATATTTTTAATACTTCTTTATTGTCAACATCTATACTGAAATGATACATGGATGGAAGGTAACAGCCACTTTCATCTTTAATGGCACACTGTCGCTCCAGAGCTGGACGTAAACAGATTAGGTCTGCTGAGATTATTTAGCTGGAGAATCATCTGAAACACACACACAGCATGTTTGACTAAACCATATTTAATCGACATTTACCAGTACATACTTTTACGCTTGGCTTTATATAGCAAATTAGCATTAGTTTACCATCACTCGTCCTTTAATCATTATGTCTTCCAACACTCTCCTGTTCTTCTCCAGAGCCGTTTGGTTGGCACAGACTTTTCTGGGTCTCTTCTCTTTGATGTTTGACAGAACGTCTCAGACTGAGCAGAACGTTCAATAAAACAATGAGATCCTCCATTTTGGTTGTGTATCTTTTCAGGGTCGTCTTCTTCTAATACATTTAGTTGTGGCTAGTAAATAGCTTATGGGAGACCACCGCCACCAGCTGGTAAGGCAAGTTGGATGACCCTGCCTACAGAACCGGTCCTGAAGTGCATATGTGGAAATGCAACTTGTACCGAGTTGAACTTAGCTGAACTGATCCGAGCCGTCACCGTGGAAAGGGGGCTTTAGTCTTAAACTCCTCCATGAACGGCAGCGGGCAATATGTATTCTTTCAAGTAAAGCTAGTTCTTGAAATCATTTTTGTTTAGTAGAGTCAATCTTTAACCTTTTATTGTGCTGAGATTTTTCTCCTCTAAAATTATGCATCTAAACGAAAACATATATGCTGATAAATTATTTTAATCCTCTCTTTTTCTTTATTTGTGTGTGTGTGTGTGTAGCCTCTAAGCGAGACTGCATTGAGCGTTTTGGACAGAGAACTATTGAAAGAATCAACACTGATGAGGACATTATCTGCACCACTGAATACTCCCGAATTGTGCCTCTGGAAAATGGAGAGGTGAGTTTATTTGTTGATAAATACTTAATGACATCATCACAGTGGTGCTATATTCAAACTGGAGCATGACAGATGTTAGGGATACTGTGCCTGTCAGACAGAATGTGTGACTGATTTTGTTAGTTTAGTGATTATATTTCTTCTCTGTGTGTTAAGTAATGATGTTTCTCCCCCCAACACCCTCTGTAAGATTGTTGTGTCCCTGGTGAATGGTCGTCCTGGAGCCATGAACTTCTCATATTCACCAGTGCTGAGGGAGTTCACCAAGGCCACGAACATCCGGCTGCGCTTCCTGAGAACCAACACACTGCTGGGGCATCTGATGGGCAAAGCACTCCGTGATCCCACCGTCACACGCAGGGTAAAATATTGCTGCAAGTCGAGCATCACCCTGTCACTAATGTAGTGCAAGACTACAAAAACTGGAATGGTCACTGACCTCACTTCACAAGATTAGTGATGACCATATTGCTAGGTGCTTCATGTGTCACCATGTATTGTTTATATAAGGACGCCACACATGTTAACACCTCTTGTGGGCTGTATGCAATTAGTCCAATGACATCTCAGAAAAATCCATTGTTTGCTTGAGCAAATCATAATGTGAAAGCAGAAGACTATTCTATAACAAGCCTCCCAACAAGTCCGGTCAGTTTCATCAAAATCAGAACATTGACCCAGAGCACGACCACTGCTGTGATAAAATGACCTAGTGCTGTAATCATCATAAGCAGAGTAGAACAGAGCTGAAGTACTTTACATGTTTACTTTGTCTAAGCAGAGCTCTGCTGTCAGTGTCTGGAGTTTATTTCACTTAGACAAACACTTAAACTTATATTAAGCATTTTTCCTCATCCCTGTGGAATTTATTAGTCTAATTTAACTGACTGAAATAGTCAGACACGGATAATTAAGTTTTTGTCCAACCTGTGTACTAAAGATGTACAAATTATATTCATTACATAGAGAACTTTACTAATTGTCTTTTCTATGTACAAACCGGATTCCAAAAAAGTTGGGACACTAAACAAATTGTGAATAAAAAGTGAATGCAATGATGTGGAGGTGCCAAAATCTAATATTTTATTCATAATATAACATAGATGACAGATCAAAAGTTTAATCTGAGTAAATGTAACATTTTAAAGGAAAAATATGTTTTCAAAAAGGTTGCCCTTTGTCACAGATTTTGTTCATAACTTTTATGGACAGAATTTCTAGGCGCAGCCAAGGTGTTGAGGAGATCCGTTTTGGTGGCCTTAGGATTGGATCTCTGCTTTTTGCATCTGATGTGGTCCTGTTGGCTTTATCAGATCGTGATCTACAGCTTTCGCTGGAGTGGTTCGCAGCCGAGTGCAACACGGCCAGGATGAAGATTAGTTCCTCCAAATCCGAGGCCGTGGTCTTGAGCCGGAAAAGGGTAGAGTGCCCTCTCCGGGTCAGGGAGGAGGTCTTGCCCCAAGTGGAGGAGTTCAAGTATCTTGGGGTCTTGCTCACGAATGAGGGAAAAATGGAGCGTGAGATCGATAGGTGGATAGGT